AAAGAAAAACACCACCCCCCTTCAAAGGGGGGGCGGAAAAAGTCCCCACAAAAGGGCCTCAGAAACCCCTCTGGAACCCGGGGAAAAACCCCCCCCCCCCCCAGCTATCCAAAGAAGCTAGGAGGGGCAAGGATCCAGCCCACAGGTGGACAAGGACAACTGAACTGCTCACTGGAAGCATCTGGTGAAAAATAGTAAACTAAAACTCAAATATTTTGAATACATAATGCAAAGTCATTGGAAAAGAGCCTGATGCTTGAAAAAATTGAAGGCAATTAAAAAGAGGCTGTCAGAAAGCCAGGTGGCTAGACACTATCAGTGATGAAATATGCATGAGTTTACAAGAATTTAGAGAAACAGCTACTGACAGACAATCCTGGTGAAATGACGTTCACTGGGTCACAAAAAATTGGAAGTGACTGAATAGCAACAATTCCATCAGATCAGTATTTTCACCTGTAAGAGACAGTGCAGTCCTGGAAACAAGTTCAGCTAATCTATTTCAGCTGTACAGTATTGAAGGTTATTGAATATTGAATAAGATGAAATATTATTGCCTTGCACCTTCAAATTCCTTCTCACATTCCAAAAGGATAGATGATTCTTGGCCTAGCGCAAGGTTCAGGCATGTTGGAATGGAGACGTATGTGTGTCCTTGGACCTGGCAGTGGTTCTGAGATCACATTTGATTAGATTTGGATATCCTAACATATCCAGGTTTATTGTATTAAAGCAATATAGAGCTAGATGGTAACTGTCATGGCTGGTCAGGATTTTTTCTGAACATCTAAATCTGAATATTTCCAGTGTGCTTTTCAATGGAGTTGAGAAGCATTCACTGTTTTCTTGAAAAGAAAAAAGTATACCTTGAAATGAGGCAATCATTTCATCCTTCTTCCCTTTTTCAAATATCAAGCAATGGAGAGATTTGTTCTCTCTATTAAAAGAAGTCTGTGGAACAGGGCATGGAACTTCTCTGTTACCACCACTCTTTCTCTTCCCTAAAACAGTTGGTTTAAGCACATATTGTCTAGAAATTCTTTAATTTCTGAAACAAACATGCAGAAAAATGATTGGACAAATGGGAAATCAGTTCTGAGAAGGAGAAAAATGTGTTGTTCTTCATACTTATGTTACTGCTGAATCCTCTTTAAAAGTCAGCAGGTTTAAATGTCTGCCTCACTTGGCTTCATTATCACCACTGTTTTGCCTAATACTTTTAAGCAAATTTGTTTGTTAGGAATAATTACATGAATCCATTTTACTGTTTACACTGTATGTTTCAGAACTGATTAGCTCCTAATTTGTTTCAGATTAAGTGTTTTGTTCACTGGACCAATTGTAGTTTAAATATCTAGACTTCTGTTTTTGTCTTGAGGTAGCAAGTACAGTATGTGATTTTTCTGAATTCTGTAATTCATTCATTCTTTCAGGACGTCAACGAATCAATCAGCTAGCAGAAAATACAAGGTACTTCAGAAGAAGATTGCGCGAATTAGGCTTCATTATTTATGGCAATGATGATTCTCCTGTTGTTCCTTTACTCCTTTACCTACCTGGTAAAGTTGGGTAAGTTAATTCTTGTTGCTCAGAAAACTGCAAAATTTTCAGAATATCATTTTTAAACTCAGATTTCATTTCACAAGTGTGTTTTTTAAGCTGTAACAAGAGGAACATAATCAGTTGCCTGTAGCAACTGTAGCCCCCCCTCCCCCAATCTTGTGAGGAAGGACAGGCTGCAAGTTTCATTTGTCATATTATTTCAGCAGTGAGTAAGCTTTCACTTGCTAGGTGATTAACAGTAATGAATAACCTTCAGCCTGAATAAAAGAGTTTCGTCCAATGGGGATGCATTTCCAAAAAAGGACAGGCCTTTTTTACTGAGCTTATCAGTAGCCTTTTAAAGATATACAGTATGTAAGAGTGTATGCTCAGGAATCTGGCACAACATTAAGGTTACTTATGGGGGAGGAGGGATAGATTGATTGACTGATTGATAGAGTAATGTAGCTTCCAATTCAGTACATTTATTAAAGGATCCTCTGGAGAGGAGTCAGAAATGATTGGTTACTGCATGTGGAAGCCACAATTGGACAGTTTAATTACATAAAACTTATCAAGTGTAGATTGCTACAAGCAAGTATGCATGGGGAAGGGAAGTGGGAGCCTGAAGCCTCTTATTGTTCATTCATATGCCATTGATTTGTTAAAGTGTACTAAATGTGCCAAATGTTTTAGAATGTCCATATCACACAGACACTATAATTCAAAAAAGAACTAATAGTAGCTGTAATGCTGTTGGAAGGATTTTTTATTAACACTGATTCTTATACCATCAGAATGTGTATATGTTTTCAGTATTATTTTTGCAGTTTTATATCTTTGTTCTTTTAAATATAATGTGGTTTTAAGAAAATAAGCTCTGTTTCACCTCATTTCCTTACTCAGGGCTTTTGCAAGACTCATGTTGACCAAAAACATTGGTGTGGTTGTAGTTGGCTTTCCAGCTACCCCAATCACAGAATCCAGGGCTCGGTTTTGTGTGTCCGCCGCTCATACACGGGAGATGTTAGATACGGTAAGCACAGAGATAGCTTTATAAAATGAACTACGTTTTTTGGAGAAGGTTGGGAGAAGCCTCACTAGGTTTCCCTTCTTCATTGTCTCTTGTAATGCCTGCCTTGCTTACTCTTCATTTGATCATGGAACCTTGGGAGTCTTTAAATTAGATAATTAGAAATGTCTGAATATGCTGCTGCTGCTGCTAGGAAGACAGGAAGTATAGGTTAAGCAGTAATTGAACCAGCTTATATCAGGTTTTGGGTTTTTACAGAACTCTGAAATTGGCAAAGTGGAAGAGGAGCAGAAGTATAGATGTATATATTATTTTATGAATGATGGGGTAAAAAATAACAGCAATACCCTTTAGAAATCCTGAAAACTTGCCAAGGTAGATATTGACAAATTATGGACGATTGGTAAAAAATAAATTGTATATTTGTGTTCTTATCATTAGTGGAATTTATGACTTACCCTTAATATGTGTAAGGGATAGTATTTGTCTAGTTCATTTTAATATCCCCTCATTCTAACATTATGAGTTACCCATGTCTGAAAAGACCAATTATTTATGTTTTTATTCCTCCAAAAGAAGGCCTGTAGAGGATCATCTCATTGAAATTACTGGGACTGACTTCTGATGAGGAGTAAGCTATATAGGTAGTCCTTGCATAACAATGGTAATTGGGACTAGAATTTCCATCGCTGAGCAATCTGGTCATAAAGCACAATGTCATGTGACCACGCCACTTAGCGACAGCAGTTCCAGCAGTCCCCAGTTACCATCATCAAGCAAATCACTGTGAGTCATTAAGTAAGGACCTCACATGAATGCAACTTCTGACTTCCTGCCAGCTTCCCCATTGACTTTGCTTGTGGGAAGCTGGCAGGGAAGGTTACAAATCACAATCACATGACTGCGGGACACTGTAACAGTTGGAAATCTGGGCCAGTTGCCAAGCACCCAGATCACGATCACGTGACCACAGGGGTGCTGGGATGGCTGGAACTTCAAGGACCAGTTGTAAGTACCTCTTGTTAAGCGCCATCGCAAGTTTGAACAGTCACTGAGCAAGTGGTAATTAACTGAGGACCACCTGTATAAACTTGACTATTGGACTGTGGACTTCATAGCCTGTCAGTCTGGGGGAAAAGTCAGTTCTTTGCCATCATCTGGAGAAGCATGTATGGTTAGATTAAGATATATTTGTAGTGCATGCAGTGGAACAAGCTTATGCATAGCCAATCCCTTGCGCTTCCTGCTCTTCCCTCCTTGGGTTAGGTTAATTTCACTTTACGTAATGGTTGGATACTCAGTACATTAGAACTAGAGATGATGGTTTAAAATAAGTTCTGTTCCCTTTCAAAACAAGCCAGCTTGCTTGCTTGATTTAAAAGACATGTATGGCTGCCCATATTAAATAAAATGATTCTGGATAGCTAACAACAGATAAGCAAATTACAAAACAAAAAATTTAAAACTTTCTCATATTAATAGTGCTTTAAACCAGATGTATGTAAGTTTTCTGGGATGAGGCTTGCAAAAAGTAGTGGACTAAAGACAAAAAATGAATTTGATTTCATTTACATTTAAACTTAACTAAACAGTAAATGTATGTGTATCTGTACATATATATATATATATATATATATATATATGGGTTATTCACAAGTCATTCATATATATATATATATATATATACAGTATGTGTGTGTGTGTGTGTGTGTGTGTGTGTG